GCCTGGGAGGAAGACCTGGGAGTTGAGCTGACGATATGTGGGATAAGTGTCTGACTACAATACAGGTCTGCTCAGTTAACAGCAGACACCAACTGATTCAATTCAAGGTTGTTCATCGCTTGCATTACACTAAAACCAAACTGCATAAAATTTTCCCCTCTGTTTCACCAATGTGTGACCGGTGCAAGGTGGCAGAGGATACAACTTCTCATGCTTTCTGGTTTTGCCCATTATTGTCTGGGCTTTGGTCAAGCATATTTGACTGGTATTCCAAGGTTTACAATAGGCCTCTTCTACCGGATGCAGAACTTGCTATCTTTGGTTTTTCACAGCGCACCTCCTGCCTCCCGGGGACATTACAGCAGTCTCTAACCCTGGGTATGATTGTGGCTAAGAGACTTGTGCTTAAGAACTGGAAGTCACCCTCACCCCCTTCCTTTCGAATGTGGATTATGGACATGATCTCTGTTATTCAAATGGAAAGACTCCGATTCTTGAGAATGTTCCGCTGTTTGGGGTTCATTTCTGGGCCATTTGGACAAGATAACCGTTCAACCAGCCCCTAGTGGCTCCTCTGAGGCTAAAGCTGTACATCTTTCTGGGCACCCTGACTGATTGTTTTGCAGGTTTTTACTATAGTACTTTTGACTACTGAACTAAATATTTATTGTCATTATAATTTTTTTGTTACTTTATTATTAATTTATTTATTTTTTTATTCTCCGCTTGTGTGGTCCGAGACAGTGTTGTTTGTTTGTCTGTTCTGTGTTTATTTTTGAAAAACCCTTAATATAAAGTATATAAAAAAAAGAAATGCTTAAAGGAATAGTTCATAAAAGAGCAAAAACTCATGACGCTCTTATTTTATGGTTCAACACAAAATGGGAAAGTCTGAAGCATCTTTACGTGTGCTAATGTGGGTGTTTCCAGTACAGTATGTGTGTGTGTGTTATTTACCCAGAGAACCTTCAGAAGGTTCTGATCCGTTCCTCCTGTCATCCAACATGCTCAGTAAACCCTGTTTCAGCGTATTCACCCACTCCTCCATCTCAGCCTCGCTGTCCGCCGCCAGATAGTGACTGTAACGGTCCTGCATCTTCAGCTCAAAGCTGTTACGCTTCATCTTAGGACACTGCAAGAAAAGTGCTGTGTCAGTCTGTAGAGGAATTTAATGGTGTGACTTTAAGAGCTGTTTGTGGTTATAATGATAATGGGTGTTCAGAAAGGAAGATTCCTCTGGTTGTGTTACTGAGCCTGAGGGCTGTATGTAAAATGTATCAAGCCAAGTTCAGATATTTCTATGTTTAGATATTTCCAAGTTGTAAAATAAAATGTGTAATTTATAATGCACATTTCTAGCAACAAAAAAACTTTATAATAACATTACATAATTAAACCTTGTCAATCAGGGCCTGTTAACTATTGTACCCCTTGATCACAAGACAATTTTTGACTGCAAATCTGTTCAGGATTTGTTAAAAAAAAACACAAAAAAAAACAGTATGTACCGGAACTACATCTATACAAGAGTCCAGATAGATGGAGCCTTTTGATTCTTTGTAGTTTTTCTCATCTTTATATGAATTCAGTATGTAGGAGCCATCAGGGAGCTGAGACAGGTAGAAATACCTCCTCTTGAACACCTGTGCAGAAAGAAATAACGTGTGTGAAAAAACAGAGCCAGAAATACTGTGATATGTTTATAGCCATTTTCATCCTTCAAATTCATATTGAAAATATACAGAACTAAACGGTTCAAAAATGTGGATTTGGTCAGATTTACCTGATCAAGAATACAGTAAAAACTGTACTGTGAAGTAATAACAATTACTTCACTGTTTTCTATTTTACTGTATTTTAAAATGTAATGTATTCCTGTGATGGAAAGCTCAATTTTCAGCAGTCATTACAGTTTTCAGTGTCACACGATCCTTGAGAAATCATTCTAATATGCTGATTTGGTGCTGAGGAAACATCTTATAATTCTTATTAATCTAAATTTCTTATTCATCTTAACTCTATATATATTCTTTATAATTTGACACATAACAAATGCCTTTTTGTGAAATGTTGCGCCTGAAAAGTGCGCTTTTGGTATTTTCCTTAATATAAAACGTCACCTGGTTTGATAGTTTGTTATCTAATACAAAGACAATTATACATTTTTAAGTGTGGCTTAAAAATATTTATTGGGGTCACTGATATAATGCATTAGCTTCACACAAGCTATATCCACATATTATCTATTAGTAATAGTATACGAAAGGATTTTTTGACCTGCTGACTAATGAGTAATGGATTGAGCAAGTCATATAATGTACCATATATCCTTTATGCAAATACTTGCTAGACATCATTTTGCACAGAGTGCTGCACTTTGTTAACAGCGTGTGTTTGTGTATGAACATTAGTGCATGTAATTGACATTTCTGATTTACAAAAAAAACAACAAAAGACCTTACAGGCCTCTCTTCAACAATGGGTCTTCAAACTGCATTGATCAGCAGATGAACAGTATATTAAGTAATAATGACTGCTGTAGTTCTGCTGATGTTTTTTTTAAAAAGGTGTGGCAATGATTCCACTAACCTTCATGGAGACAGACAGACTGCTGTTGATGTTGGCCTTCTGCAGCCAGCCCTGCTTCATTACACCTCCTCTCTGAGAGCAAAGAGATGATGAATCCTGAAACACACACACACAAAGTAAGAAGAATCCTCAGACACACACACACACACACACACACACACACACACACACACACACACACACACACACACAGAGTAAGAACTAATGAAGCAGACTGATCTGAATACAAAGATTTAGATCAATGCATTTCTACGCATGTGACCTCTCTGCCTTAAAGATCAAATGCTCTGAAACAAATATGAACACTGTGCGTTCTGGTTTTACAAACATTCACGCAAATAAGCCGCTTATCCCTCACATAGTAACTCAACACTTTACACACACATTAACACAATACAATAATGCACTTACAAACACAGCTTATAAATGCTTTAAAAACTGTATATATTACATATAACAGTAATATTAATATATTAACTACAGTGATATATATATATATATTATACTTACAGTGACTATAAATATGTGCATGTCTTTGTGTGTGTGTGTGTGTGTGTGTGTGTGTGTGTGTTTCTAATTTAACTGA